TTATAGTTTCTTATGGGTGGACGAGCTCACGGCTCACCCGGTGTTAAGTGGTTACCGCAGCCCATAGACATCTACAACGTAAATGTCGTCACCCACTTCGAGACGTCTGAGCTCTAAGGTCTCAGTTGTTAAAGTACAACGGCTGCCCCTACCTTCAGACCGAAACACATTACTGCTTTACGGCAGAAATAGGCAGAGTGATGGTAATCGTACTTTCTATATTTGGCTCTTTTGGATGACAAGGTTACCAACCATAGGCCCAAATACCCAGGTCACCTGATGCTAAAACTTAAAATAAAATCGCGCAAACATTTATTCAGTACTGTGCATTTGTAGTACTTAATTTAATACACAGGAAAAAGAAAATGAGTATAAAATAAAACTGCATCACATTAAAAAATTATAATGTACATAATAATTAAGATCTTATACAACGCTTTAAAGGTAAAGTGTACATCGTCGTTCAATCAAATAAATTCAATACATTATGGGCATAATGTACTATTATTGCCTTAAAATTGATGGAAAATAAAATAGATTTTATTCTATGTGTAAATTTATTAATATATTCCTTTGAATGCCGTATAAACTATTATATGTATGTATGTATGTATTTGTGTCTGTATGCATGTATGTATATATGTATGTGTATACTTTTTTTTGTGTATGTATGTAAATTAATATAAATTTCATCGCACCTACCACTATTCACTCTGCACTACTTTGGTTGACTTGTAGAGAATGCCTTTGGCATTAAGTCCGCCAATGTAAATTTTACATGAAGTGTAATAAATAAATAAATAAATACTTCTCGTTCATCATGTGTATAATTCGTCAGACTATCGGTTCATAAGAGAAATTGAAATAGTAAGACAACATAAACACCATAATCATAATCATTTTAGTATCATTTAAGATTTTTTCAGAAAGTAACATTATAATGTTTTCAAAGATAGCAAAATAATAATAATAATAATATAACTCTTTATTTAACACCACATGTACAGAGTAAGCATATAAAACAAATAATAGTCGGTGACATAAATTGGCGGTCATATCGCTGAGAGCGATCTCTTCCAGGCAAGCTTGCAGGGAGAGGAATGAGTAAACTGGACGGTGGTATCTTAATAAACTTACACAAAAATAAATACAATATAAGATAGACTTACATACGATTAAATACCAATAAATACTAAAAATATGCAAGTAAATACAAAATAAGTAAAATGTGGTTTTCCTACGTAAAAGCTATGCTTATGTTTTATATTATTGTTCTAATCTAATTTCTTTAAGGATGACATGCTTAGAAAAGAATATCCGTTTATTGTATGGTATTAAATTAAGCTGCATGTGAAAGTTTTTTTTTTTATTGCCCTTGTAGGCAGACGAACGAGCATACGGCCCACCTGATGGTGAGTGGTTACCGTCGCCCATGGACTTCAGCAATGCCAGGGGCAGAGCCAAGCCGCTGCCTACCGCTTAATACTCTCCACAAGCCTCGTTAAAAATGTGGAACGCTTCACGATTTTGCGTGTCATCCTAGCGCAGGGGTAATTTTCTGAAAATGAATTCCCCAACCCAAAACTGGAACTATGTATATTATAACTTGCGGCGGGTAATTCCACGAAACTGCTTTTAGTTAACCTCATGTCCTAAAATTTCCGTAATCCAAGGTAATGTTTCCCAAAATGACACTTTTGACCTACGATTAACTAGATTTAATAAAATGAAAGTCCTCTCCGAAATAAATTATAACTATAATATAACTAAAAGTTTCAAATCCATCTAGATCTTGGGATTACACTTAATACATTCGGAATCTGTTGCAGATATATAAATATAATGCAATAAGGTTTTACGATAAACTCTAAAGTATATATATTTTTGTTTGAATAAATTATTCATCGAACCTACAATAGTCACTGCTGATATTTACATTTTCTACTTTATTACAATTTAAGGTAATTAGAGAACGTTCGTTGAATTTTAACAAGATTTTAACAAGGTCTTAACGCATCCTCGCCTATAAATAAATTACAGCAGTAGTAAATTACTCTCAATGCGTTTTGAAAACCATGACAATAACTTTTTAATTCAATTCTAAAAGAATATTTGAACTGCTTAAATTACTAGGGCATGTTTTAATAATGCTCACCTAAATTACATTTATCTGTTTTATAAGACTTTCAATAATAATATTACCAGCTCCCGAAGTTATACCGCATTTTTGCAAAAAGACCTTTTGATGTAACTCTGATTTTTTTTTGTTCTTCTTAGTGCTGAACTAGTCATTGCTGTTTAGTAAAACTTTAAACGAATTTACAGAAAAAAAAACATATTTTTTTTAAATACGTTCTCAAACTTCTTAACAACGTGCAAAATGTACACTAAGGTAATGTTATTAAATTTCATTCAAAAGTTTATATAAGATGATAGAGTTTCTATTCAAATGAAAATCTTGCAATAGAACAAAATATTTTCAAAATGCAATTCGACTCACCTTTTTTATTTCTTACAATGAGAGATAATAATGCATATTCACTATACACAAATATACTTTTTTATAATAACTGAAAACTAACGCGAAACGCGACATATTCAAACATTAGGGAGAGAGAGAGAGAGCGTTCTTTATTGAACACCAACAAAATAAACAATGCGAAACATTAAATAAAAAAAAAAGTACAATTGGCGGTCTTATCGCTAAGAGCGATCTCTACCAGACTATCAGGTGGAAAAGAATCATTTGTAAATTTAAAAAATGCTCCTTAATGAGGCGTTTGACCGAATTTAATGTTTCAGCATGTCGTATACGTACCGGGAGTGCATTCCACAAACGAATAGCTTGAACGGTGAAGGAATGATCGTAAAACCTTGTCGAATGCACTGGCCTTCATACATACATATATATCGCGTTTCGAACCTGACCTCTCACAAGAAGCACACGTATGATACCCTGAGCCACCAATGCCATATTTCTCCAATAACTCTTATACTAAACAATTCATTCATACTCAGTTTAAATCAATCTTTTTCTAGGCGCTGTCTGTACTCAAAGCACATGTGGTTCAATAATTGCAATCTACTTATAATTTTCAAAGAAAAATCGATAATTCGATGATGATAGGCGTATTAGATTAAGGGTTTTTTTTTAATTGATAAGTGAGTTGCAATTAATGCTACAAAGATTGACAGAAGTCGTCGTGGCCTAAAGAATAAAACGTCCGGTGCATTCGTGTTGAGTGATGCACCGGTGTTCGAATCCCAGGCGGGTACCAATTTTTCTAAGGAAATACGTACTCAACAAATGTTCACGATTGACTTCCACGGTGAAGGAATAACATCGTGTAATAAAAATCAAACCAGTAAAATTATAATTTGCGTAATTACTGGTGGTAGGACCTCTTGTGAGTCCGCATGGGTAGGTACCATCACCTTGCCTATTTCTGTCGTAAAGCAGTAATGCGTTTCGGTTTGAAGGGTGGGGCAGCCGTTGCAACTACACTTGAGACCTTAGAACTTACATCTCAAGGTGGGTGGCGAATTTACGCTGTAGATGTCTATTGGCTCCAGTAGCCCCTTAACACCAGGTGGGCTGTGTGAGCTCGTCCACCAATCTAAGCAATAAAAAATAAATTCAGGTGCAGTATTTTTTTGGACATGCGATTTTTAACTTTAAATTAATGTCGCTTAGCGGATGCAAATCTTAATGAAAATAGCTATTAGACAGCGCCTTAACAATCACAACTACTTTTAGATTATGCGCGAACGAACGGATAGCACTCGCGTCGGTGGTGTGGCTCTGATGCCTTCGACCTTCAGCTGTGGAACAGAGATGCAGTTCGAACATTTGCCACCGTCCGTATGGGGTCCGCTTCGAAGTCGACACCTGCATGTTATCCTCCGACGATTCATTGAACCAGTGGTACCAACTATTTCTGAAAATAATTATAATAGAACGAATAACCTAACCTATCCATTATTATTACCGTACCCATTTCTGCTTTCATTAAACTACGCTTTAACATTTCACATTTGAAGGGTTGGGTCATAAGTATCAAAAAAAAAATGTGTGCGTGTACTAGTGTACACACGTAAGAAGTGAAACTTGTTTATGGCCTTATTTTTCGAAAAATGATCTACATGCAACTTTCTAGAAATTGGTTAAATAAAGTTAAATTAGATAAAGTTTAAACAAAAGGATTTTATTATCATAGACATGAATACAAAAAAGATAAATTAGATAAAGTTTAAACAAAAGGATTTTATTATCATAGACATGAATACAAAACAGATGGCGCGTAACGGAAAAAAGTGACGCGTAACCGAAAAATGTGACGGTAAATTTTTTTCCAACGCCGATAAGGAAGTTTCACTTCAACAAATCTTCAAAGTTACTCACGAAAAAGAAATTCAGAACCTCCCGATGCTTTAGGAGGAGGAACTTTCGCAGAAAGAGCATTGTAAAAACACATTATAAAAACTGAAATGTGCCATCTTTTGTATTCAACAAAAGATTGCTCATTTGATATTCTAAACAAAGGATACGGAAATTTATATCGTTAGCCAAGAAATTACGAACATAATAATATTAAACAGAATATTATTATGTCGTTCAAAGATTACAGGCCTTGACTCCGAAGTCAAAGACAAAAGATTGATAAAACGTTGTTGTATATTTTACTATTACTTGTTCGGATTCTAATGTAAATTAACACTTAATTTATTTATGAGGAACATTTCAATGACTTAGTGAAATGATTAATTGTTTGTGCACACAATAATTTAACTAATTCGTATGAAATTGCAGTAATATGCGTAGGTCGCGAGAATACGCTGATTTCGGATGCAGCAGTTGCTATGTGCATTACATTTCCCAGATGACTGACTCTGAATGTGTAGTTAATGAAAACATGGAAAAGGTGAAAACGTTTTGATATTTTTTTAAATACCAAACTATTTTATTATTATTTTTTCAATGAAAACTTCGATCAACAATATTATTGATCGAAGAATGAAAAGGAATAAGAATGAAAGATGATTAACTCACCCGAGAGAGGTATCCTCTCACACAGACTAGATCGTTGACAGGAACGCTTTGACTCATTCAGCTTCAAGCAAAACAGTCCACTCAATACCTACGAAAATAATTTTTCATTATTTTTCAAAGTCATGCTCTACAACTTATATGAATAAATATCAACTTGCAAGTAATCTCTTGTGGTTCTCTGAACGAAAGCTCATGAATAAATAAAATTGGCATTGTACATACTCGTTAACGAAATGTGTAAAAAATATGATTGCCTTTCTAATTAAAGTGAAGATTAATAAATCTCCTCTTCTGCTTCGAGGTAGAGTTAAAAAAACTAGACTGAACTCAATTTTGATCAGAAACAATCATAGTTTGTCTGAGGCATGAGCGAGGAAAAGAAGTCGACGTTGCTTCGTGTTCGTTCGCTATTAATTTGCCGTTAATCTCTGGAACAAATCCCTGAAATAAATGTACTGCACTACCACACAGACGCTCCTTGTCAATTTAGAGAAGTGTACTATTTCAATATTGGTGCTTACTATTACGAAAAGATTTTTATGGAAAATCAGGACATGCCTATTTACATACGTTCAGTTTGGGTCAATTGTAAGATGTATTTGTTGTTGTGGGAGATTGTATTATATGTTAAAGTTATATCAAAAGGTACCATGAATTACCAATGTCACTTTAAAAAGATTTACACAGAACCGTTTTATGATCGTCGGACTGCAGAGTAGACTCATAAGTATTAAAATAAAATATTATCTATGCCAGATAGTACATTGTACTGTTGCTAATATGCATACCTATCCATGCTTTTGTTACGAACGTTACGTTTTGTATAAGAACCGTGTAATTTGATTTTGACGCCTTACATTCACTTACAGTTTCAAATATATAAAAATCAAGATTACCCGGAAAAAATATTTGTTCCGAACCTAATATTTTTATTCACATCCCAAAACATCAATTTGCGAGTTGTCAACAAATCAGGAAATGTGAAGCGATTTTAGCGTCGCACATTACGAGTACGAGCTCTCAATACATTTTAACAAAATCTAATAAAATATCATTCCCTGTCATCTTTGGCACCGAAAGCGAATGAATTTCCTTTTAAGAGTAATGGAATTCGAAGAATATGATGTTAAATTTAATATTAAATTTCACACCTCAAAAATGCCGTTGTTTGAACATCTGTGACTAACTACATTATTAACTCTAATCTTTCTGTTTTTCTTAACGTAATTTATGTAAATAAAATACCTATGTTTTGTACAAAATTTTGAGATTACCCGCCCATACTTACATCGTTATATTAAGGTTGGGTAGGAAAAATAAATTGTATTCTAGCGGTACATTTTGTATGTATAATTATGTAAAAAAAAGGTTTCGTAAGTAAAAAATATATTGAATGCGCATAAAAATTAAGGCGTGCCCATGAAAGTAATCTCGTCTTTATGTTTATATTTCGATTAAATATTTCATATTTTAACTAACAAAGAAACCGTCTTCCTAATCATTATTATTCTGATTGATCTAATAATTTTTTGAGATACCTAATTTATGATATCTCAATTAACAAAAACAAATATCTTTATGTAGAGTGTTGTCTTCGATTTTCGCATGTCGTAAACAAAATTGAAACGATTTTTATAATCGAATCTCGCTTTTTATCTTGGCATAATTTTTTGAAAGTTTTGAAATACCTCACGGCTATAGTCACGGTCATCCATGTATAATAATGATTAACGACCGTCTGGTGTAGTGGTAAGTGACATGGTCACTACACAAGGGGGTTGCGGGTTCGAATCCCGCCAAGGAAAGATATTTGTATGATAAATATAAATGTATTTTCCAGGGTTATGGATGTATATTAAATATATGTATGTGTATGTGTTTAATAAAAATCTTACATTTATTTCCGTTATTTGGTACCTGTAACACAAGTTCTTTACGAACTTATCACGGGACCAGTTAACGTGGCGTGATTGTTAGTAAATATTTATTTATTTATTATTTTATTTATTTATAATAACAATACAAACATAATGGTGTATAAAAACAATAAGCTGTTATGTGGGTTTCTTTCTTTAAGTATATCGATCTCCCGGTCGTGGACGGGCTCCCGGTCCGCATTCTGTATTGCTGTGGGTTCCGTCTGTAGGGGAGTTACTGGATTTCCACTGGGCGGATAACGGTATCCGCCACCTACGGACGCGGTCTATACCTCTGGGCATCCCAGACGCACCGCCCGGTTTCTCTCGTCGTTTTCATGGCGAAAGAGACTGGGCGACGCGGACTAAAACCAGCAGGGGGAACCGGGCTCTCCGCACCCTTCACCTGGTTGAAGGCTATTTCTTCCGGGGGTGTTCTTCCTTATTATTTTAAGTTTGTTTTTGCTGTCTTTTTGTTGGCTTTAATTTTGTTTTCGTTTGTTCTGAGTATGTTTGTCTTCTTCGTTGTTATTTTGTTATTTGTGTTTTGTTTGTCTTCTATCTTTATTCTTCTACTGTTGTTTATATTTTTTATATGCATTTTCTTTATTTTTGTACTGAAACTTCTTTACGAGTAAAATTTTACTCCCGAAAAATTCGTTACGGCTAGTAAGAAAAGATACAATTTAGAATGAGAGAAAGTGAGAAAATAGACAGTGTCTCGCGAACCACTCGACCGACAAGAGGGAAAAGACAAAGCGAGCTAGGTCGTTTCTCTTAAACACAGCATTCTCTGTTACAAAAGAAATTTGATTTAAAGATGAAAAATGAAGAAAGCCACGATACTACACACCGCCAAAAGAAGTTTCACTTCTTTCACGTGTACCCATTTTCATGCGCAGCAATATTTTTTTTTAACCCCTTTTCTTTTATTCTTTTTCATACTCTCAAGCTCCGACGCCTGGTGAGGAGCGCGCGCGGACTCACAAGAGGTCCTACCACCAGTAATTACGCAAATTATAATTTTGCGGGTTTGATTTTTATTACACGATGTTATTCCTTCACCATGGAAGTCAATCGTGAACATTTGTTGAGTACATATTTCATAAGAAAAATTGGTACCCCGCCTGAGTTTCGAACACCGGTGCATCGCTCAACACGAATGCACCGGACGTCTTATCCGTTAGGCCACGACGCTGACAGAAGCAAAAATCCTCGTCGTGGACCGGGATGAAAAAGAGGTAAAGGCGGACCTGCTAGCTGAGAAGCTGCGGGAGATTATGCTCACTAAGCATACTCATAAAAAAACAATTTAACTGTTTTTAAATTTTTAAATAAACTACTACTAATTGAATAAGAACTGTCTGATGAACTCATCTTTGTTTAATACTTCACTATTATATTTTATTGCCTTTTATTTCACTTTTACACTAAACACAATATTGCAAATTACCCGAGCACAACAATAGCGGAGAATTTTAGGTACGTGAGAGCAGACGTAGACACTAACGCGCATGCGCACTTGTCAGTACCCAAGGAGGTAATGGTTACACTTTCTTCCCTGTACAGCGGGAGGAAAAGTCAGACTTTTTTCCTTGTACAGCAGGAGGAAAACCGAACTTTCGGCGTCGATAGGAGAAAAAAAACATTTATCTATTGTAGTAAATTTAATCCATTAAATTTCAATAAGCCGAATACCAACCAAACCTCAATATTTGTTCCTACAAATGTTTTGTATGTATTTGTCGAAACGCGATTACGAGTGTGATTCAAGCGTCTGATAATTTAATATGCAAATTGATGACATTGTTTCACGTTTATATTTGTATTATTAGAGAATATCATAAATTTTACGTTATCGATTTTGGTAAACCGATTTTGTTTGGTTTTAGAATGATTAACACCGATTACTATAGTAATCGGTGTTAATCGACCGGATAGTAATTTTTTATTTCCCGATCGAAGGTGAATGTCACAAAAAATCTTGGTCTGCAAAAATTCAAATTTAATGTGAACCACTAATTATAACCTACGAATAGAAAATGTCACATGAATAATGGGGAAAGCGTGTATTAAAAATGACCATTATTTCCAGCATTTTGATTTATGGAAGAGAAGTTGCTGACTTATGGCCTTAATGTTCTGATGTAGTGAAATAATTTATTTTATTAATTACGTACCATAAGAGCAGACGATGAGTAGATACTAAAATATAGAATTAATCCTAAAAGTACATACGAACGTAATAATATATGAAATAACATGGGTTTGAATTTGTGCTCGATACAGCAAGTACAATCTTTGGCCGGTGTTCGGTAACGGAGAGCTGCTTCTGTTTTAATTTCATGCACGAATTTCGTCCTCCATAATAGAAAGACATAATTTAATGTCCGTTAATTATATTTTTGTATATTCAAATTCATAATACGATAAACTCGTATGTTAGGCGTTGTTAGGTGCTTCGCAGAATCTATCACCAGTTCGGAAACGCGACCCACTGAGAAGATCCGGCCAGAAACTCAGTGGGCTGTGTCTATGGGTTAATTCACTCGTTAAGCCCTACGTCGCAAGCGACGGGTTCGACGAGGACGGTGACCGGTGGTTTTTGATACCGAAAAGCACCGTTAATGGATCGAGAGGATCCGTAATAACGTGTTTAGAGTTTAATGAGTGACGACGAAGAGACGAACATTTTAAACGCAGGTAAGGATAGCAGGAGCGGTTCATTATTAGATAAATATGAGGATAATGGATAGAGGTTGGAAGGAACGGGAAAATAGTTACACAAAAGTTTGACTTTTACGAGTATACTCGTATTAGTAGCGCTGTTATACCCTACCTAAAAAGTTCAGTTTTGTACCCTAAATATTTAATTCATACCGGTACCATGTTCATATAATTATGTTCGTGTAAACTACTCTACATATTTGAGCTCAAGTAAGATATTTTCAAAATTTAATTATTTTAAAAGAAATAATTAGTACCTACGTGGATAAAAGTAGATAGTAAATATTATATATAATCGTACAACCAGAATGATATAGCCAGATTAGTGGCTTAAACGCTTTTAAATGAATAGTCCTAAATTAGAATTTTTTTAAAACGAAAAATTATGACTTCAAAGTATTTAAGAATAAGATTATAGCGCCTTTTGGAGTACAAATGGGAAAACATAATGAGAAAGTGTGCCTCAGAGTAAGCAGTGAATATCCATATTCGAGTCTTAAAATTCGAAGCAAACTAACAATTTCGTAAAGTTTTTTGTTATAAACAAGAATATCCCATATTTCAATGTATGTTTAACGTATCTTGCCCAGAGCAGTTATCTTTCAAAGTTTCATTTGTGTTTATTAATATTGTTAAAGGGCCTATTTTGATATCAAAACCTTTTTTGTTCAATTATTGACATATAGAAAGCAGCCATTTAGTAAGTTCGATTTAAATGTAAATGTGAATGCGAATGACGTGTCACTGGCTGATCGGCGCTGTTTTTTTTTTTATAATTCGAACCAACCTAATTTTATTCCAAATTCCAATTGTTGTGGCACTTTGAGATGTTGATATAGGACCAAATTGAAATTACCATTTTCAGCTTTTTCTCATTTTGAAATGCTGTTTTAAATTTTTACAAGAAACCTTAGGTTCTGCCTTATTTTGGCAAAGGTGCTTTTTTTGATGAAATGCTGTACTTTTGGTCTGTTGCTATACTTATAGTTCTATTTTGTTAACAACGTTTTCATTGAAGGTCTATCAAAATAGTAGCCAAAGATATAATAGTGTCCGACATAACCAGGCCGGTCACCCTCGTGGCATACGAGTAGTATCTGTAAATTTAGATTCCCCAGAGTAAAAAAGGGTCAGATAGTGTGTGTGTGTGTGTTCGTTGTGTGCGTGCGTGCGTGCGTGTGTGTGTGTGTGTGTGTGTGTGTGTGTGTTTGTGTGGATGTGTGTTTGTGTTTGTGTGTGTATGTTTTTGTACGTGTGTGTGTGTGTACCTGTTTAAACCCATGTCGATATTTTGCGTTCATATAGCAGTATATTAATGGGTTGTAGCAGGAATGTGACATAGCCAGCCAATGGCTCGCGAACCAAACGTAGGGCATTCCCGGCCAAACTGCCCAGTCTTCATCTCCCTCGTGCAATGTCCATAGGACCTAGCGAAACAAATGAGATATACTCGTATAACATCTCTCCCCTTACTATACTAGTACAGTTATGAAACAAATGCTACTTACAATAAACATATTGAGCGGTAACCAGCAAACTACAAACACCGCCACTACTGTGACCATCATTTTGATCATCTGCAATAAAAAACGTGGTTAAGAACCGTCAAAACTAATTTGTATCATCGATATAATGAAATAGGTAGGTGAAAAGTTCACATAGATATTATAAGTTTCGTATTAGTTAGTCGGTGTTAGAATCCTATTTCGACCGCGTTCCAGCGTCGTGCAGTTTACTGTATAGTAGGTATCACCCATGTGTCAAGGTGAACGAAACGCAAGTTGACTATCGGTTTGGGCAAGCGCTAGGGACATATAAAAATTGAAATTATTTCAGATTTTTTTTAAGTTATACTTCTTTAGGCGCGTTACGAAAAATTGATGAGAGTGAAATTTTACGAAGTTGCCCACTAAATCGCTCATTACAATACGACCGACGTAACTTGGCGAGTCTGAATATAGCAGGTGAACTTTTTTTTTTTTATTTTTTTTTTATTGCCCTTGTAGGCAGACGAGCATACGGCCCACCTGATGGTGAGTGGTTACCGTCGCCCATGGACTTCAGCAATGCCAGGGGCAGAGCCAAGCCGCTGCCTACCGCTTAATACTCTCCACAAGCCTCGTTTGAAGAAGGACATGTCATAGCGCTCGGAAAACACCGTGGAGGGGAGCTCATTCCATAGCCGGATGGTACGTGGCAAAAAAGATCTCTGGAAACGCACTGTGGATGACCGCAGTGGCTCCAGGTAGTATGGATGAACTCTACTCCGGTGGCGGGCGGTGCGATGGTAAAAACGAGATACCGGTATCATCTCGAACAATTCCTCAGAGCACTCCCCATGGAACATACGGTACAAAATACAGAGGGAACCGAAGTCCCTCCGCAGACCCAAAACTTTCGCGCATGTACACTCGTAAAAAAAAGAAGTGTTATTAGCATTAATTTTTTAGTGATATAAATGACAAAATTATTATTTAATATAATTCATACTAAATATTATTAAATTGTTAACGTTAAATATTTATTATTAATTATTTAATATTAAAAAAAAAGCAGAAATAAATTTAATAAAAATAAAGTATAACTTCTTACGCGAAGTACACACACCCTTTTTTTTGTTTTATGAGTATAGGTACTTGTTTTTGTAGATGGTAGACGCTAATGTCAGCAATCCCAGAGGCAAGCAACTGTCTAATGCTGAGAACTTCAACCTCGCACCAAAAAATTAAATAAAAAGGTCATTGCGCTCGGAAGCCAAATACATGCCAAAGCTGAATGATGCCTGGCAAAAATATCTAGGGGAATGTACTGTAGAGAACGCAGCACGCCCTCGCGAAGCTTCTAAAAGAACTCTCGGGTGGTAAAAACGAGATACCAAGATCATCTGAAATATTTCCTCAGAACACTTTAGAAGTCGTCGTGGCCTAAAGGATAAGACGTCCGGTGCATTCGTATCGAGCGATGCAACGGTGTTCGAATCCCGCAAGCGGGTACCAATTTTTCGAATGAAATACGTACTTAACAAATGTTCACAGGTGGAGTGTAAGCACGTCCACCCATCTAAGCAATAAATTAAAAAACTCGCCACGGAAAATGCGGTACAAAACACACTGAGATCCTCCATATACCCAGAGTTTCCATGTCCATAACTTTAATGATTCACTTTTTTATTTATTTCAATATAATTAATTTAATTTTAAAATTTTCAATTACTATTATACTAATATTTATTCAAAAAAATTCACGTTAATACTTACTTTCCTTTTGGAGAGTTGCAACCGCGAGTCCCGACCACTTTCTGCTTCTCCAGGTGGTCGACCGCCCCATACAAAATGCGCTATTCGCCCGTACGTGTAAACGAGAGCGGTCAATGGCAAAGTAAATTGCAGTGTCAATAAAGCAAACGTATAATGCTCGCTTTGTTTTCCATCGGCCCACTGTTCGCTGCAGATGTCGCTAAAACATGAACGTTTTGTAACTTAAAATATGAAAACAAATGATAATTTTGATACGTGAAATTCAGACTGAAACAATTTTTTTTTTTATTGTTAACATAGAAGTAGAAACACAATCATAATTTGCATCTGTGCTTGAACTAGGTGATAAAACATGTATCTCAAGCAGCGGTGCTCCTCGTGCAAAGAATAAAACAGCTTTGCTTCAAATACAAAAAAATAGAAAACCAATAGATGAAAATTAAACTGAAATATCTGACATCTGAGATCATCTGACATCATCTAACTGAAACTGAAATCAATACATACATGATAAATATAAAACTTACACTTTACATGCCTCATGCCAAGGCGAAGGTCGCTGTAGCTGAGAAACTATAGGAATCGGCGCTGCCGTTATAATGGCTCCTCCCCAAACAGCAGCGACGACCATTTTAGCTGCACCTTTCCCAAGTCGAGGCTTTAATGGCCGCATTATAACTATGTATCTGTCAATTGATATGGCGAGTAGCGTGTATGCGCTGACTAGTACCGAAACAGCCTGCGAGAAGTTGACAACTTTGCACATAACCGCACCAAAGGGCCAGTATCGCAGCACAAGCATTGACACGAAAGAAAACGGCACACAGAACAACGTCATCAGGATATCTCCGACTGCCAGGTTCACTATAAAATAATTCGTGACCGTCTTCATACGAGGAGATGTGTGAACAATGAAACACACTAATCCGTTTCCCAAAAGCGCAACTAAAAACACTGCACTATACATGAAATATACACAAATTTGAAAAACAGAAGAAGATAGGAAGTCTTCGGAGGATGATTCATATATGCAAAAAAGTTCATGAGAAGGCCAGGTATCGTTATATGCAGACTGGTTAAATATAGTGTCGTTTCGGTGGTGGACATTGGCGGCGTATGTGGCTTTATAATTGATGTCATTAGATAGTTCTTCGGATTGATCCATACTCATAGATACAGCCGACGATTTCACACCATCTCTAGTAACACTTCGTATGTTGCAATCGACACCTGAAACAAAATACAAACTTCAAAGTACCTAGTCACACTGAAACTGATAAAAATAAGAATTCACAACCTTAACTACATATTAATGTAATACTAGCGACCCGCCCTCGCTTCGCTTCGGAAACATTAAAACACACATGAAACCAAAAAAAATAAATAAAAAAAAAGTAGCCTATGTTCATCAGGGACAATGTCGGCTTCTAATGGAAAAAGAATTTTTCAAATCGGTCCAGTAGTTTGGGAGCCTATTCGAAACAAACAAACAAACAAATCTTTCCTCTTTATAATATTAGTATAGAAGTATAGACTATGCATTTTTCTACAAAAGTTGAAACATCGTTTTATGAAAATCGTTCCCGTAGTTGCTGGGAACATTTCTCGGTATCCACCGTAATTTCACCGTAGTTTCAGTAGTAGAGACAACCTCATAAACTAATTACAAGTTGCCATTTAAACCAAAATATTTTCTAACAATGATATTGATAATTTAATTAAAAAGTCATCATAATTTTCATGATTATGTAAAGAAAAATGAGACTAAACCATTGTTTCAGGCATTTTTTTTTATATTTTAAATATTTCTTTGTTATACTCTTTAAATCATTTATCATCAAACTTAATTAAAATGAAATAAGTTCTTGAAGTAGGTATAATAAAGCTAATTTTATTGTATGTATTTTAAGTTATTAAGGGTGGATTCGACCAAACTTAAATTTATACTCGAGTAACTATACGAGGAATAACCTATTCCATGATTTTAATCTCGAGTAAATCCATAGTCGTTTTTCCACGTATACTTGCGCTAGGAATAACAATACGCGAATAGCAGAGTGAATGGTGAACAAAAATAAAATCCGGCAAATAAATGTTGTTGTTCAACGGCANTTTTAATAAGATCTACACCTGCATCAATAGTCGAACGGCCTCTAGTGAATCCATATTGTTTGTTATGAAGCAGGTTATTGGAATAGAAATGGTTCAAAAGCTGTTCCAAAATAATTTTTTCAAAAATTTTACTCAATGTTGGTAGTACTGAAATGGGTCTAAAGTTAGTGGGGTCAAAAGTACTACCAGATTTAAACAGAGGTATTATTATTTATTATATTATAGTATTATTATATTTTTAAACAAATTTTTTTGTTTTTATTTTTTTATGATACAGCATACAAAAATACATACAACCCTAAATTTTCACCCCTCTACGATCAACCCTATTTTTTTATTTGCTAATTAAAAACTTTAATTTTTTTGCAAGAATTTTGTTTTTATTTATGATTGTCATTTTTATTTTTATTTCGTCATGAATTAAAAGAAAAAATCTGATGCTACTCACAATTTTCACTCTTATACGATCAACCTCTATTTTTCCATCCCGATTTTAATTTTTTTTATTCCATGCACAGATCCGCAATAAGGTTGCAAGATGGCAATTAAATATTATAATTGTAGTACGATAAATTCTTATTCAGAGTTTATAATTTCAAGTTCCTTTAATTATGATTTTTTTTTAATTCAATTTTATCTCCCGCCCTCGACGGTCGACTACTGATCAACTATCAATCGATCAGTTATCCCCGCCAGGTGTCACCCCTCATCCAGCAAACATCACGTAGTAGGGATGAGGACGAAGCCGGTCTCCTGTCTTACTCACTATACATTTTTCAGCCACGTTTTTTTGTTTTTTTTTGTGTATCAATCGTAGCAGTGACTGCTATACCTATTATTTTAATTTTTCTTTGCAACTCTCATGTTAATTTTACTGTCATCTAAAATTATCATTAATTTCCAGTGCAATAATTATTTATTTACAATTTATTAATCTGACAAAGACAGTTTTAACTCTCAGTTAATTAAGTAATCTCATGTAAATAAACACGTGTTGTAAGCTCCCGCCAATAACGGCCATTACCGTACCGGTATATATTGTACTTAACATTTTTTGGAAATTGTTTTAAATCAAAACGAAAACGTGTACGTGGTTAATAAAAATAACATACATGGCAAAACAACGTTTGCCGAGTCAGCTAGTAACTTATAATAATATAAATATTACTATAATATAAATTCGAATTACTTTTGTGGCCCAACACATTCCGGCTCGAGCAGCCAAACGAGGCGGAGCTCTCCATTGTTATAGTTGTACACTTGGAATGTAACAAGTGGAATTCATTGGAAAAGTGAGTCTTAATTACTGTCACTCTGGAAGACAATGATCATATTGGCGTCAGTGACACTGACGTATTGTAATTAAATCTATTGTTTAAATAAACTTGGTTTTTTTTTGCAACCTCCGGCTGTAACAACTGTAATTGACTTTTAAATGATTCTGGAAAACTGTAGTTTTAAATAGCTTCCAATAAGGGTGAAATAAGCCTGAATATTTATAAGTTAAATATTCAAAAAAAATCGAAGCAAGGTAATAAAAAGTAATATCTATTATCATTTTCGATTTCCTAGATCAAGACTGATCAATTGTTTTTCTAAGTCAGGTCAAACGGACGATTAATAAACTTACGGGGTCACTCAGAATCACTATTTTAGTTGCTTTCAGTAAAACACAGCGCCAACGCGTGGACAAAAAGCTGGCGACTTCCTACTGACTAAATGAACAGTGCTATTGTTTGTAGAAGGGAAATTAATAAAATTACGATTACTAAACATTCAACAAACAACACCAGAGTGTGATGGAAGTAACTCTAGTTCCTAACGTTAGCTCAAGCGTCATAATATATTGAATAAAGAACCAAGTGTATACTGTAATATAATATACTGTAATCGATATGGAACTCGAAACAAAAATCTGGCCAATTAAGATCATATAATTAACAACCCTTTGTTTGTCTTACTTAATTAATGAAGTTACTTGTTGAAATTACTAATAATATCACTCTTCACATTATAAACTTCATCCAAAAAGTTTTCTTTTTATGAAGGATGGATTACTGTTAGGAAGCCGGATGCCTTTTACTTAATAAAGTAATTTTCTTTCAATGCTTCACAAAAATGACCTTTTCGATTCTATATTAACTTGCTGCTATAGTGCGGTTAATTCGCACGAGTGGTTAGCATTGTTCTGTCTTTTTTTTTAGAATTGAGAGATTACTGTTGGCCAAGAGACCTTTTCAGTTCCACCAGTATAGGTGGGCAAGCAAGGGCTCAGCCAACACGACCCGCTGAGAAGATCTAGCGAGAAACTCAGCGGGCTGATGTTTGGGTTGGGTTGCACGTCGAACTCTTTGCCGAGCTATATAATATTATGTATTGCTACTATTATTACTCCAGATTATCCTTACTATTATTACTCTGCTAATAAGTACTACTATTATTAATTATTATCAGACAGAGGCTTGGCTCAGCCCAGCCTCAGACCCATTACATGTGTCTCTGCATTGACAAATTAATTTGGTTTTATCTTTTTAGATCCGATGAGGACCGGGTCTGAATATATCCTTCAATCGATACATTTAGGTAAGATGTTTTTATTTTTAAGCCAGCAGGCTCCCAGATCTCTATTTATAAATAATTTTATTTCTAAGTCACAACATTGTTCAATCAACTTTGAAAGTGGATAAGCTCGTATCGACCACTGAAGTATGAAACTTTAAAGGTCTATGGTATCGACCTATCTGACAAGCTAACTAACGTTTTTTGATATTATGTCAATTTGTATTTCAACATATCCTGAGAGGCTTTAGATAAGTTTGATTGTAATTTGAAATTCCAGATCGGACAATTATAGGTGGCTGCCTCCACTGCACAACACTTTATCGCCGTTGTGCAGGAATACGCCGACGTATACGCGTCATTAAATACGTACGTCCTCCCCTCACTCCGCCGGTAATCAATGGTGTATATAAGTAAAATAAAGCCCCTATCCGTGACGATAGGATTTTTAACGCTTACGGTCTCGCAAATCAACGTGATCAGGTTTCTGACTTTTTGCGTGACCATCAAATTGATATATTTTTAGTGCAGGAGACCCTACTTAAGACCGCGCGCCGTGACCCTAAAATCGCGAACTATAACATGGTCAGGAACGAAAGGCTCTCTGCTCGTGGTGTTTTTTTTTATTTATTGCTTAGATGTGTGGACGAGCTCATAGCCCACCTGGTGTTAAGTGGTTACTGGAGCCCATAGACATCTACAACGTAAATGCGCCACACACCTTGAGATATAGTTCGTAGGCCCCTCAGGCCGACTCGCGGCGTTCGATTATGACGAAAAAGCAGAGCTGCTGGCCGATACATTGCAAACCCAGTGCACGCCCATCACTCAATCCGTGGACCCTGTTCATGTAGAATTAGTAGACAGTGAGGTAGAACGCAGAGCCTCCTTGCCACCCTCGGATACGTTACCACCCGTCACTCCGATGGAAGTTAAAGACTTGATCAAAGACCTACGTCCTCGCAAGGCTTCCGGTTCCGACAGTATATCCAACCGCGTTATTAAACTTCTACCCGTTCAAATCATCGTGATGTTGGCATCTATTTTCAATGCCGCTATGGCGAACTGTATCTTTCCCGCGGTGTGGCTCCTGCGTGATCAGGATTCGGGGAGTATTCAGCGGCGGCAACGATAAGGCGATTATCATGACGCATAGCTTATCGAAGTACCATTCCGACGCTGACTTCATGTATTTCTGGATATATTCGAGGCCCAGGTCGTCGTGTAGGTCGACGTTTCTCATGAACCACGGAGCCCCGATGGCTAACCTGCAAAAGCGGGATTGTGTCTTTGTGTGTGCGGGCCGCGTGAGCGAACACCACACTCGCGTAAGTCATGACGGGTCGAACATGGTGTGTGACACCAAGAACGCTGTAATGTTAATCGGATCTGGTAACCGGTTAACTTCATATGGGCGGTGTACTATTGCCTGATTGACTTCAGCAATAAAAATAAAACTTATTCCCTATTACAACCCACTCTATCTCACAGAAAATGAGC